CTACGGTTTGTTGCGAGAGAGCGTACGGGATTGTGCATACAACGCGTGTCTCGACTTACGTACGGTACTTAATCGGCTTTTTCCCACGCGCTTGCACGTCTCGAGACGATCGTATCAGTGAATCTCTGCGAATGCGATACCGCAAGATTGATACGACCGCGTCAGCGGTTACGCAATCAGCTTCCACTTAAATTCAAGTTACTCATTGTTTAAATTACAACATCGCGTTTCATCCTCACTCACGGCTAAGTATCACTCGACAACTCACGCTTCAATGAGAACAGAATTAACACGATTGTATTTGTTCGCAGTGATGACGCCGCTAATTGTCGCATGGTCGGGAATCAAAGCGCGTCGCGCTATAACGATATCGCCGCACAATTACGAAAACATCGAGAGAGAGAGATAGATAGATAGTTTATTTACGTCCTGGGGTAAAAACCCCTTAAGCTACAAGAAGGAATAAATGGTATATACTTAGCCTTAAGTCTACATAGAAAAAACTAGCCATGGGCAAATTGTATTAATAAGAAAATATAAGCAAAAAAGACCATTTAACATAACGAGGAAGTCGATAATTGCACCAAACAATATTAAGTCAAAAAGACATTTTTGAGAGAGAGAGGGGGGAGAGAGAGAAAGGTCCGAATTGACGACCTTTTTTTATATAATTACGAATTTACAGCGTCAAAGGGCGGCGGATCGGCGATTAGTATCTGGAGCGTGTCATTTCGGAGAAAGCGCCGCGGAAAAGCTCCGGGTGACGCGTGTGATGTGATTTTTCTGAGTCTCCTCTCCGTAATACCTGGCGCGAATAAGTGGCGCGTACAGGCACCACCTGTTACCCTCGGAAGTGAAGCACAGGCGTTCCAATTAGGGGAACGAGCCTCCTTTTATCGCCGTTCTCGCGCGCGCAGAACGAGAGGGAAACCGCGAATAAACATTCTCCCCCTCATATCTCATTTCACGATAAAGCGTCTCGTCGCCGGATGGCCTCCGAGCGGCCTTTTGTAAAGGCGAAGGGAAAGGCGCGCTTACTCTTTTTTCTGTACTTACCTACGAAGAAGCGGAAGACGAAGGAGAAAGAGAAGAAAGAAGCGCTGCGGCCGCAGGATGTTCGTAGATTTTAAATGCCGGAGGTGGTCACGATCGCTTTCTTCATTTCCCGCTTTTGTGCCGCGTCCGTTGATCTCGATTTATTCGCTGTGGAGAGTAAAAGATGCGTTGAAATGTTTGAGCACAGATCAAATTTTGATTAATGAGCTCCTTTTCCCGACGTCTGTATCAGCGAATCTTCGCAGACGAGCCACTCGCGTATCGATTGAGCGCGCGCGGAGAAAAAAATTACTATAGATTTTCTCGGGGATAATTGAGGGTAATTGAGCGATTCATTGTCGATACGTTGGAAGAAGGCGGAGCGGTGGTGACATTCATGCGATAATATGACGGAGTTGGAAATCTCACAATTTTTCATGTACGCGCGCAATTTCCACTGGATATTTCCGACAGCTTACTAATTCAGGGTGAGGTCGTGACCCTAGACGGGTTCCCTAACGGAAGTCCTACACCATTGCAGCTGCATACCAGGGGTGAATATATTATTTCAAGTAATGCGTGGGGTCGCATACGCGGTAAAAAAAGAACATAGGCCGAAACCTAATGGATGACATGTGACTTTTCGAGATAACGTTAAATTGAAAAGTTATTCAAATACAATATATTACGCGGTACCTTTGAACGAGATCTCCGTTCATTTTATCGTCCCGGAGCAACATCTCGCGCGCGTCATACGGAGGGATGAATATCCAAAGTTAGGTGCCGACGTTATTAGTATCCAGGCATCGATACTTTTATCTTATAGTTCGTAAAGAGTCTTACGGTTCAATCGACCGAACAAAAACCACCGTCGAGCCGGATTGGTTAGCCGCGACGTTTGTCATTATTGTCTCACAGACCACAGAATTGATTCGGAATGTCTGCACGTCTCGAGTATTTCCGCACCCCGCGGGGACTTCCGGCCAGCCGGCCAGTCTGGCCGGCCACCCCCTGAAAATCGATCAGCCCGAACGTACGGTCGCGATGACGCACTGGAAACTGCTTACGTGTTCGCCGCGAGGTCGGGAGAAATATGGAATATTGGCTTCAGAATAAACATACACACACATATACAGAGAGAGAGAGAGAGAGAGAGAGAGAGAGAGAAACAGAGAGAAAGAGAGAGCTGACTTTCAATAAACACACCCGATCTCGGGTCGAAAGCGATTTCTTCGTCGTCGTGTGTTGAAGATTCGAGCGCGTGTAAGTAATTAAGTGGTCGGCCCTCTTACTCGCCAACGCGTCGAAGATATATCGCAACAAACTTATCGTCGGCATTATTGTGAGATAGGCGGTAATTAATTCGTTTAGAAGGCCGTTTCCTGGCCGATATCTCCCGGCCGCAGATGAGGCTCCCGATCGAAACGCGGCAATTCGCTCTTCTTGAAGCGCTGGAAAGCCGACTTTCTACCGATACAGAAAATACGCGCTACGTACCGAATTATTATGCCCTCCTCTCTCCTCTCCCCTCATTTCGCGGTTACGGGCTCTTGATTAATTGCGGATTATCTTCTGCCGCCCGTTATCGTTAGGCGCGACCACTACGAAGGAGCGCCGATTACGCTCCGGATAATGCCTTTCTTTCGATCGCGCGCTCTTTTCGTCGTAAACGAAGACTTAATGGAAAACCTAATTACGAGGATACACGTTCGCGCGATATCACTGCTCTTGGATATATAGATCCTATTGTTGCGGAGAACACAACGCGCATTCTATAAATTTCCGCTGTTGGTTGCTCAGAAGAAAAGTTCGGGGAAACTGCTGACTCACGCTGTACATCTATGAACGAGGTTTTTTTCCCCCGTTAGCGTCAGGATCCTGAAGATTTCCGGCTCCTGCTTCCATTAGACGGGTGAAACGTCCGGCAATATACAGGGTGTCGGGACAATTCATGGCGCAGCCGTTGTACGCAGATAGAACTCGTGAAACATAAGTTGCGGACTCATGAACTGTCAGACACCTAGTGTATTGTTTTTTCTTCGTTTTGTACGAGCTTTTGATTCGCGATGATTCTTTTAGCTTAGAACCGCCGGGTATATTTTCGACAATACGCGAATGTGTCCCCGACGATGTTTGGTGCACTCTCGGCTGCTAGTCGATCCACGGGGACAGTATTTTTAGGCGGAGATCTCGCTCGAGGTCGCGTATCGGGCATCGATCGTCGAGAGAATTACAGCTCATTGAAGTTGCGCGAGTGAGCACCTCGACCGAGTAGCCAAATGCGAGCCGGCTGAATCCTGGACAATCTCCAACGCGCCGTTTCTGTTCAGCGCCCCCCACACACGCGCAGAAGGGGTGACGTTGCCCGAAATATTAAACTAGGCCAGACGGCACGGATTATCGTTCGAATCGTTGCGCCGTTCGTCGAGGGCGTTTTTTCACAATTCTCATTTAATATTTGTAACTATATCGACGAAAAAAGAAAACTGCAAACGGACGGAGGGAAATAATGATGGTAATACCGACAATTTCGTGGAGATTGTCGACCGATAATCGCTATTATTACTACAGAAGAAGAGAGAAAGAGAAATATCGGTAATATGAAAAAATAGATGATAAAATATTAATTAAATAATATTATTTTAGTGATTAGATAATATCTTTTTATGATTTCGTATATCGAGAATTAAATGTGTTAAATATACAAAAAAAAAAATACATATAATTTCATCCTTAGTAGAATCATTTTATATATGGTCTTAAGAGGATTCTTCTAAAATCAAAAGGGAAAAAAAGTTTGGTTGGATTATAACAAAGTTTCTGGTGAAATATGAACGAACCGGTTAAAGTCGTCGAAATTCTGTTCAAGTCAACAAGGTTTCTGGTTAACTGGAACAGAATTCTGATGACTTCAACCCGGACTTTCTGGTTCGTTCCTTTCATCAAAAATTTCGTCAATTCAACAAAACTTTTTTTTCAAAAGGAAAATTTTCCTTTTTGCAAAAGGAAAATATTCCAACACACAAAAAACCTCTAGTCTTCTTTTTTAGAAAAATTCTCCTGAGGCCGTATATAAGAGAATTCTCCTTTAAGTAATGAGATTATATCTTTTTTGGTAAAGTGAGTCAAGTTACGGCATTCACAGTAATAATTGATCACGCGTCGTGATTGAAGCAATCAGCGAATGCGAGATTATCGGGCCGTGCGGTTTCAGCACGTTCGTGCTCGGCAGGTGCGTCATAAACGATACATACGCGCCTTATTTTACGCGGGCCACGTGCATCATTTACGAGCTGGAAACACACAGATACGTACGAATGCGCGCCTCTGTGTATCCGGTGCATCCAGTACTGCCGTTCGCGCGCGCACAAATTATTAACGAGACCGTGCTTTATGCGACTTGATCGATTCTCACGAGTGAATACGCCTCGATGTACACATAGTTATGGCACACGTCACGTCGCACCCGGATACGGCGCGAGTTGACAATAAATGTCCCACATCTTACGTGGGTAAATACATTTCCTTTTTTCCTTTGCACGAAACTTCCTCTCGGAATCTTTTCATTTTGCTTTTTCGCGAAACGAAATCGGAAAGTTGGTCGAAGGTAACGTAGAAAGAGGGAGATCCTATTGATGCGGTAATTGGTCAGAGAACAATGCAATGCTCCACATTCGACTTTCTAGGCAACGATCCCGCTTTGCACGGTCAATTATTCCCGAAAATGTTATCCCGTTCGTGAGAAATACGATAGCGTTTATACCACGCAGAGACTTTCATCGCTTCTATGTTCGTTGTATATTCTCCGTGCGATACGCGCGATGAATATCTCTTGATTGACCTCTATTATCTAATTATTGCAACAATCGCTGCCATTTGGCCGCGTTACCTGCCGTAATGTAGAGAAAGAAAGAGAGAGAGAGAGAGAGACACCTATGAATGTAGCCGGCTTCGCTTGGTTGCAGGTGATCGACTTCGGCTCCAGTTGCTACGAGAACCAGCGGGTATACACGTATATACAGAGCCGCTTTTACCGTGCGCCGGAGGTGATCCTGGGCGCGAGGTACGGCATGCCGATCGATATGTGGAGCCTCGGCTGCATCCTCGCGGAGCTCTTCACCGGCTTCCCGCTGCTGCCGGGTGAGGACGAGGCGGACCAACTGGCGTGCATCATCGAGATGCTCGGCATGCCGCCGCAGAAGTTGCTGCAGACCTCGAAGCGGATGCGGCAGTTCATCAGCTCAAAAGGCTACCCCAAGTACTGTACCGCGACGGCGATGCCAGACGGTACGACAGTATTGAGCGGGGGTCTCTCGAGACGCGGCAAGTTACGGGGCCCTCCGGGCTCGCACGACCTCGAGCGTGCCCTCAAGGGCTGCGACGACGTGTTGTTCTTGGACTTTCTCAGACGTTGCCTGGTGTGGGACCCGGAGAACCGGATGACGCCGAACAAGGCGCTGAGGCATCCGTGGTTGCGTCGCAGGCTACCGAGGCCGCCGGGCGACAAGAACGACACGTTGCCGGCGGTGACGACGGCGCAGCCAGCAACCACTAGTGGCGGCTCCACCCTCAGAACCTCCGCGTCCGGCAGCAGAAGCTCCAGCAAGACCAATAGCTTACAAAGCGGCAGCAACAACGTCGGCGGCGGCGGCGGCGGCGGCGGCGGCGGTGGAGGTGGCGGAGGTGGAGGCGGTGGTGGCGGCGGCGGCGGTGGCGGTGGTGGTGGTAAGTCGATCCAGGAGATGTCCGTCTCCGCGATTTCGGGCTACGCTTCGAGCTTCGTGGCACCGCCGCCGTTGCATGGGTCTAATTGGGCTAACCTGAGCGGCCATCAGTCGCTCAACTCCGTCGGCGGTAGGAGTTCCAGCAAGACCAACAGTCTGCAGGGCGGCAACGCGAACGACGACGTTCCCGCGAGCAAGACGAGAGAGCAGAGGGACCGCATACTCGCGGAGGCGTACGCGGGTTACAGTTCGACATACGTAAACCCGTCCACTTGGGCGAGTCTGAGCGGCCACCACTCGCTCAACTCCGTCGGCGGTGGCAGGAGCTCCAGCAAGACCAACAGCCTGCAGAGCATCAGCACCGCCGGCGATATTATCTCCGCGAGCAAGACCGGTCAGCAGAGGGACCGCTTGGACGATCTATCGATCGTCAACCCGTACTTGGGCTACGCCTGCGTGTCCGAGTCCCGCTTTCATAGCAATCACCGGTCGAATCAGTCGAGTAGTCATCAGTCGCTCAACTCCGTCGACGGCGCGACGTCCGGCAAGCAGCGCGTCAGTCGCCAGGTGCACCAGGCGCAACAGCAGCCTCAGCAGCAGCAACAGCAGCAACAACAGCAGCAGCAGCACAACAATAACGGCTCGCACGGCTCGTCTCACGACAACTACAGCTCCCACGGCTCCTCCGGCAGTTCCAGCCGACTGGTGTTGGCGCTGCACCCTGCGGTTCAGGAGATTCTTGAAGAGCTCAGACGATAGGCCCAGACGTGCGGTGCCACCTTTTCTCGCCCACTGCCGTCCCTGGCGCAGCTGCTGATGAGCGCGCTTCGTCGCGATCGGCGAAGGATCGCGCGACTCCGCCGTAGACAGAGGGAGGTGGATAAAGCTGAGGAGACGCAAGGATAAGGATAGTCCGGTCCCGGTCACCCGACGTGAAACTCGGCTGTGGCGCTGCCTCCTGCCGTTCGGCCGACGACCCAGGTCGCTCGACCCCGCAAGGGTCACTCAAGGTCGAGAAGGTGGACGACCGTCTCATCATCGATCTCTCGGATAACGCTGTGATTCGCGTTCCCAGTCGCCGTTGCGCGTAGACGAGGCGTGGGGCGGTACTAGCCTGGTGGAAAGCAGATCTTTTCTTTAGGAGGCGCGCGAGCAAACAGAAAAGTAAGAAACGCGGTTAATTTCTCGCTGAAATTCTTTCCCGAACGTTATCGATCGAATTACCGTTATTCCCAATCCGGCACACGTCGTGCCGCCGACGGCGACGACGTTGACGACACGGAGTAATGAGCCAACGCGATGGTATCTCTCGATCGGGCGCGAGAAGCAACGGTAATGTCGAAACGACAGCGAAAACGCTCATTTTCGCGGATTCATCGTCGCCGGAGTTATGACTGTTCCACGCCTCGACATACGACCTACGACACGCTGCGAGACCGGTCGTCGTTTACCTCGAAAACTGTACACTTTACAGCTCGTCAGCGACGACTTGCTTCGCGTTGCTCTCTAGCCCGCTCGTATCCGGGATTTATTGCTGCTGCCGTTGCTTCCGTGAAGAGACGCGACGGCGGTACGCGAGTTTCCGTCACGACAATATTTCGAGGATCTCAGTAATAAGCCGCCACTGGGAAAAGCCGCGAGGAGACCGATCGAGCGATTTTGAACGCGCGACCGCTCGAAGACGAGACGGAGTACTCGTCGTCGAGTTCTTTACGATCTGGTTTCCGATACCAAGTTCTTGCCCGGAGGTTTCCGCACTCATTCATGCTTGTATACTCGCGCTCAACCGGTATCCGGTATCCGGTAAAACGACGCGATTGTCGCGAATTATCGGCGTAATTACGACGTTTCCAACTCGTCGTCGAGTCGAACGATTCAGCTAATTGACAAGGCGAAACATAGACACGCGCAATTTTTATCCGTCACGTTGCAAAGTGCACGAGCAATCGTCTAGGATAATCGGGCCGATCGGACAAATATAGATTAGCTGACAGCCAGTTCAGGTACGGAACACCGAGCAGAACCGACTGACATTTCCATAAATTCCGATTCCACGAATTAAGTATGATTAATGTGACTTCGTTGTCGATCATTCTTCATGGCCGCGATGCACGACAGTAGTCGCGGACGACTTGGAGGTTATTGTGCCAAGGGGGAAGCCGAGGTAAACCCTCTCTCGAGCTGGTAGAGTCGGCGGTTCGATAGGCGTACGTGAAACAATCCGCTAGATATATCGACGTCGCGACGCGCCGACGGCGACGCCGGTATAAACTCGTGAGAGAGGACGGGGAATCTAATAACGGAGAAGCTCCTTCGCATGCTCTACACGCTGAATAACGCAATTCGCCCCGCAAGTTATTTGGTACGCGCGACAACGAACGCTGATTTTGCCGACCGATCGAAGACTCGTTGCCACCGAAGGTGCGTCCGATGATCGACGTTCCGCTGCATGAAACCATGACGGTATCGCGAGGACGCGCGTTCTCGAGTAACGAGTCGCACCGTACTCTCTAAAGTACAAATACACAAGGTTTAATTCGGCACGGCGTATAACGAATTTTTGTACTACAGATTTTGCAGTGAAGTCTTACTTGAACCGGTCGAGATCAGTGAGATATAAGATGGAGCAGTGAAGTGGGCGTGTTTCTACTGAAAATCAGCGAATTTCGCTGATCATCGCGCTGAGATACACTCCTTTCACTGATACAATCAGAAACATTTTCGCTGATTCACTTTAGGAGAGTACAGATGCAAACGAGCAGGCGACGCGGTGTATTTTTGTTTACAGTTTGACACAACCGGTTTGTTTGTATATCAATTTTTCTACATCTCGTGGAGCTAATCCTTTCTTAGTTGTGTTTTGTAAACACGTTTCTCTACGACGACTACATGGTCACGGGTCTTGTTTGAGTTGTTGCTTAATCAGACGGCTTGGAAATTTACGACACGGATCTCCCTCCGAGAAACGTTTTCTCCGTGATCCGAGAACGGCCGGCTTTTCCGTACTAAATTGCTAATTACGCGGATCCGCGAATGGAACGGCTGTTCGGCTCGGCGCGTACCTCACTGATGAATTATCAATGCTCGTTACGGTCCCGGTCGGTCGAAGTTCGGGAATAGTCCCAGGGCGCGTGTAGAGCCGATTGTCCGATTGCAAGCCGGAGGAACGCGTTCGGGGCGAATAGATAGCACTCGGACTAACCGGGGAAACACGTCGGGAAAACGCGTTTCATTTGCTACTACAGCTCGCTTACGACGAGGAAGGCGCTTGTCCGCGAACGGCGCGACAAGAATCGTGCTCGTTAATTTCGTGCTTGCTGCGGCGGTATAACTGGGTTAATTCCCCGCCTCCGCGCGCTTCTCATTCGCAACGTGACAATGTCGCACTTCGCGCTTATGGTGGAAAAATAGAATCGCAAACGGAAGGCCTTCCTTTCATTAGGACGCGAGCAGCAATACTTTTTCGCGCTAGAAGACATTCCAACGTTACAATCTTTCTCCGCAACGTTCGTTCTTCATGCAACACGCGCTTTCACGACTAATTTCCGCCCGGCACCATTGTCATCGGCAATTTTCCCCAAGTTATTTCGAGCGCTACTTTGTGAAAGACGGAAAGTAAAAAAAAGGTACAGACTGTTTGTTCACCAAACGATTCATACGGCGGGGTGGCTCGCGAAACAACAACGCGTAGCCCGCGAACAATGCAGCTGCGCGCGCGCTTTGTGGCGATCCCGGTGACGCGAAATCGCTAAATTTAGTCGGACGCGACTAATCCGACGCGCGTGTCGGATTGTAAGTAGCGAGTGGCGAGCGTGGATGAGTGTGACGACGAGAAGGGCGACACATAGAGAGCATCATTCGAGAAAGAATAGCAGAAACAATGAGTGAAAATAAAGTCGTAGAAGGCGGCGAGGAAGGGCGCCGATAGCCGGCGATGACAACAGCGAACGACAACAATCAAGCTTGAGAAGCGATCGAATCGGCGGTTAAATCGTGATACCGAACGGCATGTCTTTGTGATATGGAACTTAGGCGTATATTGGGATTTATACTAACGAATGTAGATAAATATATATATATATATATATATATATATATATATATATATATATATAATATATGCATATATGTGTGTGTGTAAAATACGTGTTAAGTCAAGTTGTACCGGCGAATAGGAATTTGTAAAGCGCGATGTAGCCATTAATCTCGTCGTAGGTAGGAGCGGTCGCGAGGGCATCGATGTCCCCTGCTCTTCTCGCTCCGTCGACGAGCGAGGAACGAGTATCGCTGCGATCTTCCCGGTGCCTTCCACGAGGCTGGCGACACTAGCCTCGAGAAGTATCCTTATGAATAATATGAAAGTCGGAATACAATCGGGCGGTTCGCGTGTCACGTGCGCGACCGACACTCGTTCCCTGCTCGACGAGGGCGAGCGGAAGAATCGGGTATCGAGGTCGTGAGATACGGTGAGAGAACATGGGACGACCCTCGCGACTCGCGTTGTGACACGAAGCGTGGGTTTCGAGCTTAGACCTCTTTTTCTCCGTCAACCCTTTCGAATCGACCCTGGACGCGGGAGAATCGCTGGATGATTTTGTACTCGTGTTTAGCATATGCGGTAATGACACACAGCGTAGTGAATTTCCTTCCTAACGATTACCTCCGTAAAGCCCGTGATCACACTGGCGATTGACGATCGTAAGACAGGGCGTTTGTATGTCTAGTAGGAGCGGTCACCAGTCTCACACGGTGGCTGTTTTGCTCCGATCGATAGAGAAGTTGGTCGCGCTAATCTTCAATCGCAAACCAATCGGCGGTCGCTAGTGTGACTTGACCTTAAGACCTCAATGCATTCGCGATGGTGAGGAGCGTGGAGCGTCGACGGGGAATCGTATGCGCACGTTTGAGGCAGTCGATCGCAACGTTGGGCGTTAACCGATTAAAGTTCTCCTTGATTGAAATAATCGGCAGATCAATACTCGAGATCAATCAATCGTTATGCACAAAATCACAAATAATTTCCATGAATCACGTTGTTGAACTTTGATGTGATTGATTGCACATTGATCGAGGTGAAAGGAGTGCCAATGCTTGGACACTAACAACACTGGTACCTGTAACTGTGGACACTCGTATTGAAATACGAATGTTTAAACGTTCAATATACATGTATATTGAATACATATATTCCACGTGGAAAGTTGTATACCAGTGTTTGTGGGCAGGTATTGTTACTTTTACCTTAACAAGACGAATTTCCTCAATCGATGAAATTATTCGTGCGATTGCATGCGTCACGACTGATTAATTTTCACTATTGATCTGCTGTTTATTTTGGTGAAAGAAAATTGTCCTCGGTCAATGCCCAACGTCGAACGATCAACAAGGTTGTTCGTTCGTCGGGAAGTGAACAACGGCTGGTCGCGGAGATCGAGAAAGCGTTCGAGGAGCGCGAGAACGGAGCGAGTCCATTATTCGCAAGACGCCCCTTAAATAGCATCGCGTTCGCGCCAAATCGAGAACGCGAAAGAGCAATAACGAAAAAAATCAATACCTCGCCGTGGAGGAGGAGGAGGAGGGGAAAGCGAATATCTGCGAGGATATACTCGACGGATGAAAAGCGCGAGAAAGAGAGAGAAACAAAGAGAATCGGTCTCGTCTTTTTCTGTGCGAGTCGGTTGTGTCGCGATCGGCTTCGCTATTATATTCCAGCATGGCTATATTCTAGTTTGTCGTTAGGTTCACCATTAAACGTTTACCGTTAACATGAGCGCGGCGAACCTTGCGACTTA